AAAAAAAAAGGAGTAGGTACTTTTATAGCACAGATACTTGTTTCTCTAGATTGGAATCGTTTACAGTTCACAGGCGGAAGTGGAAGGAATTTAAGGAGGAACGCAGACAGACAACGGTATCAGCCAAATGGAATGATGTCAAAGACGACCAAATGGCTATGGCAAAAACGATCGAAAAAAGTAATGACTCGGAATTCCCTCCAGATCTCACAAGGTTTGTGAGTTCAAGGAAAGCTCGGGTTTTGGACAGGACTTAAACCTGCCCGGAAGGTACGAGCACAGGTTCGAATCCTGCTCGAGGCCTGGCCACGGTGAAAATGATCGAACAGGTGTCGGAGTCAGAATTAACTGTAGATCTCACAAGGTTAAGGGCAAAACTTCCCCCTGGGGTTAAATCTTGAACCGTGCTTGTGCCCAGGAGACATGAGTATGAGTTCGAGCATCGTCCGAGGCTGAAGTTTTGCTTGATATTCGCCAACTTGTCGGATTTTCCGATCTCGTACTGCGGCGAAGGGATAGCAGTTACTACCTCACCTTCCAGGGAAGCATGTTACCTTCCAGACTAGTCAAATACTTTCTGGGCTAATGGTTAATGGAGGGTGAGAAATCCGACAATTAACATGAAGTAACAATTCCAAAACCTATCACTATAAAGTGCAGCCACATTGATGTATAGAATTTAAAAAATGAAAAAAGTAGCTAAGTCTTCAATGGAAAAATAAAAAAGAATAGACCAAAAAAATTCTGAAATTCACGAACAGGATAAAAGTTGAATTACTGTTGACGTCAACCAATCCGACTAGATTACTTAGCGCTCATGAATATGAAGTGTACTTGTTTTAAGCAATTCTGAAACTGGTTCAAGATGGTTGCGATATCATCGATGTCATTCATGGATGCCGGAACAGGAAGCATCCCCATAAGTTAGGAAACGGCCTATGAACCTTGTGTGCTCCATGGTTCTTGATTCCTTCAGGGTTCGTTCTTAAAGAGTTCAAGAATCATGAAGCACGCAATGTTTGAAGGCGAACGTAGATGTAGAGTGGAAACGGGTAGTTGGATCGGTCAAGGACCCTGGCTCACGAAAGCAATTTTTGTCCAAAATGCTTAAAAATGCGTTTTATGAGCTGTCAGACCCTGAACCTGTGACTTATGGTGTACCACCCACATGTGATGGAGAAAGAGCACGAACGTCTCTCACAGTTGAATCTGAAGGAGTAGCTTTAGCACGAAAAAAAGCCCTGTTAGAGGAACGAAATGGGAGCAATTCAAGCAGGTAGACAGAAAATGACTCCTGATGACAACTGCTACTTGAAAACATTAGAAGAGCTACTTCCCAAATTCGACCGTAACTGCGCATCGACCACCGGTAAATATGGCTGAGGTGTAATCGTTCGGGTCTCCGAAAGCACAAGCACTCAGATCGTTCGACTCTCGTCGAAAGCTGAAGTTTTGCAAGTAACCAATTGACAAAATCGAACTCTGACTTGAGAGAACGCACGATGGATTTTGAAGTCCGCGAATGCGTGATACAGTACACCCACAGTACCCCACCACCACCTCCTCTAGCCTCCCCCCAAGATACCTTCCCATTGCGTCGTTTATGTGACGAGTATTTGGATGCGCTTTAGTGTGTCTTCGGATGACTGTATAACCCATTCACGAGACTTCAGAT